ACTGCTCTGTCTTCACCATTGAGGAAGCCCAGCTCTGATACATACGCTCCACGGTCAGACCATGGAACCTGCAATTCTCTCCATGGGTGGGGTTTGAGTCCAGTGGTTCAGTTGAGGGGGATCCCCAAAGAAACCTCATCTGAGGTGATCCCAGACCAGATTCTTGCATGTGCTTGCCAATACAGGGTCCAGCACAGTCTGTTGCCCAAATCAGCTTACGCACACACTGCTAGTTGCCATTGCTGGCTGTGTTCTGTTTCCAGCCCCGTCTTCTACACAAACCAATGAGTTTTGCAGCCCAACTCGATCCTGCCCGTCACACACTCGGCCCTCATGTAAACCAGTGGGAACTGCAGCCTAGTTGGAACAACCCCAGATGACCCCCAATAGACCTGCCCCCTGCCCTGGTTCCCATGCTTACCAGTATGCACAGCAGACTGGTCCAGTCTGTCCAGCATCCCATTTAGCTCTCATACATGTCAATGGGCATCAAAGCCTAGTTTATTCCAACCAGTCTCACTACCCAGCCCACACATGTGCTGCCAGGTGCCATTCTTTTTCTAGCCATATCTGCCCCAGTCCTGGTTCTCATGTTCACCAGTGGGAGTTGCAGTCCAAGAGGGAGGTACCACTGTCTCCTTACTGGGACCATTCCCACTCGCAGATCTTGCATTCTCCAGGTGGTTCTGCAGTTTAACTTGACAGAATTTGCTCCCCATGCCAACATCTGCCAGCTGATGCTGCAGCAATGCCCAACCAACCTACACCCACTCTGGCTTATACATGCACTTGTAGGGACAGTCAACCCAGTCTGGCTTTCTCCTGATCCAGCTCACGTGAGGCCAACAGGGGTTATTGCCCAACCTCGTCTGCCCCCATCCCAGCTCTCATACTCACCAGTGAGAGTGGTGGGCCAGGAGGGGAGCCCTCCATAGCCCCCTACCAGCTTTGCTCCCTCCCACAACTCAGGTCTCACGTGTACTGGTCAGGTGCTGCGTCCCAGTCTAGCATGGCCTGCCTCACTTCAGCATTTGCCAGTGGGTGCTGTAGCCCAGGCCACACCCAGTTCTGGCTCATGCTGGTGGGGGGCACAGCCTAGCACAGTCCAGCCAGCCCCTGGTCCCAGCCCTCATATGAACTGGCTTGTGTTGCAGCCCAACCCAGCCTGACCCACACTGCATACTGTAGCTCAGATTCGCCAGTGGGTCATATGAACTGGCCCAGCCTGGTTCGCCCCTGACATGTACCAAATGTATGCCGGTGGGTATCAATATCTGGTTTGGTCTGGGCTGCTCTCTGTCTTGGTTGTTGCACTCACCTGCGGGAATAATGTTCCAACAGAGGCGTTTCCCAAGGTTCTCCATCAAAACCTCTTCCAGTGCTAGATCTAACACACTCCAGTGAATCCACAGGTCAGACCTACTTAGTCCACCTTCTGTCCTAGCAGAAACAGTGGCTTTTCCTGACCAGCAATCACTCATTCCAGTTCTCACTGTTGGGTGCTACTACCCAGCAAAGCCTGGTCCACATCCAGACACAGCTCGCACATGGCTCAGCAGGGACAGAGACCTAGCCCAGCTCATCTACACCTACCCTGGTTCCCACAGCACTAATGCGTGATGGAGTCTAGCCCAGTCTGGCATACTCCGTAACCAGTCCACAACTGTGCCGAGAGACACAGGTGCCATCTGCCCAAGCCAGGGAAATGTGTGGGGGTCCAGGGAGCCACCATCTACAAGTGCATCCTCCCCTCCGGGCCACCCCCTTCCCTCTCCTTGTCACTGGTGTGGGATGGAGACGAAGGCTGCGGTCATCTCTGTCCTGTCCCTCACAGCCGTGTGACCTGGGGGCACAGTGGACCTCCCTGAGCCTCTGTCTCTTTTTTGGTTTAAGATTTTATTTATTTATTTGAAAGGTGGGATTACAGAGAAGGGGAAGGGAGGGAGGGAGGAAGACTGATCCTTCACCTGCAGGTTTACTCCCCAAGTAGCTGCAAGTGAAGCCAGGAGCTGCTTTTGAGTTTTCTTTCAGAAGTCCAGGGGCCCAAGCTCTGGGCCATCCTCTGCTGCGTTCCCAGGCACACTAGCAGGGAACTGGATCCAAAGTGGGACAACCAGGACTCAAGCCAGCATCCATGTGGGATGCTGGCACTGCAGCCAGCAGTTTCACGTGCTGTGACCTGCGGCTGGCCCTCTGTGTTTTCTGTGCGGCATGGGCAGGGAGCCAGTCATGCAGCACACGACTGGAAGGGGGCAGGTGTGTGGTTGAGATGTGCATTTTGTTGTATCAGACTGTGTCACTGCCCATCTCAATCTTAGCCTTGACCAAAGTTGGGCCAACTGTGACCGCACCCCTCGGTGGGCTGTGGTGAATCAAGATCAGTCATGAACACCATGTCTGCGTGGTAGCTGAGTGCTGTGGTCACTGCACTGTTCATAACACCAGGGCCAAAGGCATGGTGCCCTGGGGAGCTCCTGCCAGCTAGTTTGATCAGCACAGCGCCCCATTTCCCAGAGGGGCACTGGTGGGGACACCCTGCCACCCAGCGCCTGCGGGCAGTAGGTGTCAGAAGTACAGCCACGGTTTGTGAAATGGCAGCTGGGTGTGGATGGTCAAGGATCAGGCGTTCCAGATCCTGCTTTGCTGCTAGAATAAATTCCCTGTGAGCCACGGGGTTCGGGGACCTCACTCCTTGCGCTCCTGCCAGCCCAGGGCCTTCACACTCGCTGTTCTCACTGCCCGAGTGTTTCCCTTGGACCCCTGCTCCTTGTTTCTGATGTCTGCATGACTTTCCCCCTTGATCCTCAGTTATCACCTCCTCTAAGATGTCTTCTCTGACCTCCTGTTTCAGCCGCCCCATAAGCTGTCTTGTTATTTCTATTACTATTATTATTGGTGCTCTTCTCAGCAGCTCTGGTTTCTGTGTTTGCTGTTGTGTCCCTGCCTGGGTGCGACCCCATCTAACCCCTTGCCTGCTCTGTGCTCCGAGTGTAGGGCAGTGCTCTGCACATGCTGGCTGGTGCACAGCTCTCTGGAGGAGTGAGCGATGAAGGAGAGCAAGAAGTCGTGTCCGAGTGCAGGTGCTCGGCACAGCCCTGACCCATGCTCAGAGCTTGGCCATCATCGAGCCTGGGCTGGCTGCTGTGGCTGCTGTGTTTCTCTCCAGCCCCTGTGACCTCCTCAGCCCAGAAAACACGTGGTGGCTTTCCCCTCGTCCTCCCTGGCCAGTCCCCTATCCCTCTGCCTTTTCTCCCCGTTCTGGTCATGGCTTTCCTGTAAGGAGAGTCCATGACACTGCAAAGGGTGGGCTGGTATTGCACTGGCAGGCGGCTGCGGCTGGGCAGGTGCTGTCCAACAACCCCGAAGGCTAAGCTCCCTGGGCAGCTGTCTGTGGTTGCCCCTGGCATGGTTCCTGCTGGACAGGAGGGGGCCGAGGAGGGGATTCTCCACCCACAGCTTGCTCTCCCTGTCCAGCACTGATGGTGGCCGTGGAGGTGTGACCTCAGGATCTGGGAGATCTCAGAGGTCTTCCGAGGCCTTGGCACGAGGGGCAGTGGCAGTGGAGGAGGGAGCAAGAGGAGGAGGAGGACCACTGGCTGCCTCCAAACTTTGTCAGGTCTGTCTGAGTAGCTATGGGGACAAATGGATCCAGTTCTCTCCCTCAGGTAGCCCCTCTCTCTGTGTGACTCTGGACAAGTTGCCTGACCTAATCCGCATATTCCAGTGGGCACCGACGATGGTGGCAGGAGGAATGGGGGTGGTGGTGGTTAACGCTGGTTCCCACCCAAGGGCTCAGGGCAGGAAATGAGGTCACTCAGCGGCCCAACTCTGAGCACAGCATCTGGGAAGCAGGGACAGCCCATCAAGTCAGGCCACTCTTAGTCCCTGCAATCAATCCACTGTCTGCTGCACAGCTCAGGAGATGCCCTTTGATCTGCCCAGTGCCCTTTTCCACCCTGGTGCATAGGTGGAGAGTGGTGCCACCTTTCCTGTTTGTGCTGGACTGCCCCCTGCTGGCTAGGACCAAAATTACAGTGCTGGCCAGCCATGCAGCAAGAGATTGGTGCCCAGCCTGGCTCCTGCAGTGGGAATCTGACTCATGCATGTCAGAAGGGAATGGGGGGTTAAGTGTTAGCCCCAAATGGATGTGGCTATAATTGTCTTGCTGAAGTTTAAGGACAATGCTGGCTCCATGTCTTAGGGATGGAATTTCCTGAACACGCCTGGGCAGCAGGGTGGGGTCTTACCGACTCTTCCCGCCCTTTGCTGAACACTCAGGAGGACAGGCCTTTCCCCTCCAAAGGCCTTGGGCAGGGCTGAGGAGGCCCCGTTTGCTTCTGTTTGTCAATGTGAGCCAGCTGGCATTGAGAGCAGGGGTCAGGAACATCTGGGTTGTGGGCTGTGAAATCTGGCTCTGCCAAGACAACCACAGAGGGGACATGAAATGCAGAGTCCACAGCAGGCGCGTTTTGAAGTGGATAGCTTGGAGTATGGCCCATGGTTTTGTGTTCAAATATCCAAACAACTCTTGGCAGAAAAAAAAGTCTCCCAGGGCAGAAGGGCAGCTGCAAGAGGCACAGGGTGCTGAGAGCCTCACAGAGCGCCTTCCTGGCCTCAGGAGTCTGTGACCTGCCCTCGGGTGCTTGAGAGATCCCTGAGGCCTGGAACCAAGCACCTGCAAGGGTGGGGCTGTCGGTACTGGTCCTTGAACTCTGCATGTCAGCACACATACTGCTTCAACTAGCAGCTCTGGCATTTCTTTTCCTTAAAAGTACACTTAGGCCTGTAGATTCAACTTGTACTCAGGCAGTGCTGGGCAGGAGCAAGGGGTTAGGGGGTTGAGTGCCTGGTCCCCTTGTCCCCTGGGCTCCCTGAACGTCTGACGTGGGTTCTACTTGCACCGCAGCGAGGCTCTGGACACACGCAGTGTAGGCTTCCCTCCCTGCCTGGCTCCAAACTCGTCTGTCTGCCCAGACCCGGCGAGCACACCTCCCACCTGCGCCCTTGGGTCCTTGTCTTGAGACCTGCACATGGGAAAGCCTCGCTGGGCCAGCGGGAAGGCAGTCTACCTGGAGTTCAGGCGCTGTCATCTCCCATGAGAGCAAGCGCCAGCAGCCCTCTCCGCACTCCCTGGTCCTGTCATGGTGGGGTGTGTGTGCATGTGCCCACACGGGCTTACCTCCAGAGTACATGTCAAAGGAGCTGTGTCTCAGCAGCAGTCCCGTGGTTCCTGGGGTGAGAGAGCACAGGGATTACTTCTGCAACGTGGGTCATGCCACGTGCCATTGTGCCAACAGTGGCTACATGGGCTAAGGTCTAAGGGAGACAATGAGGACGAAACAACATCTAGTCGGACAGCTGTGGCTGAAGGTGAGGGTGAGGCCCATGTGAGACCACAGGCTGGAAGGGCTTTGGATTTGAAAAGGAATAGAACCATCCAAGCTGTGTAGCACGTCTCAGCGTGTTCACCTCAGTCTTGGACAATGGGCTGTGGAAACTAATGTTAAGTTTTACTCAGTGAGTATAGGACAAATCTAATCAGCAAAGCAGTAATAAGAATGATAGTTGTCATCATTATTCCCATTTAAATGGAAAATCTGCAGGGTGAGCCATCCAACTGGCAGAAGCTTGTGCTGGGGCCAGTGCTTGCCCAGAGTGCAGGAATCTGAGTTTGGCCTTGGGTTTTGTGGCACAGTCCTGGTCCTCCAGGGAATGGGCTGTTTGGGAGGAAAGGTGCAGTTCTCGCGTTGTGCCACTAGATGGAGGTGTTGCAGAAGGGATGTCAGCTGTGTGAGTGACTTCCTCACCAGAGTGCTACAACCCCCTGAAAGTGCTTCTGTGACTGCCTGTGCTGGTGGATTTTTCTGGAATTGGAGCAGGGGTGTGGGTGTGGAGGGCTCCAAGGGGAGCTGTGCCCCACTGCAAGCTGCGTGTCCGCGTTGGCAACCCTCTGCTTGCTCTGGCTCTGAGCCCCAACATCCTGCACAGGACTCAGCCCAGCCTGCATGCAGTAGGTGCTGCACACATGCCCGGTCAGCCCGAGCTCGGCTCACACTGACTTGATTTTGTTGGCTCTGTGACTTTGGGCAAGTGACTCAACCTCTCAGAACCGAATCTCTCTCCTTGAAAATGGAGAGTATTGGGCATAGCTCTGTCCTCACACATATAAAGTGCTCCACAGATGTTACTGCGTCATGCTGTCTTTGGTGCTCACTGTGAGGGGCCTCGACCTGCGGGCTCACAGCTGACCCCGGTGCCCTGCATAGGGCCTGGCCCACAGTAGCTGTTCTCCGTGATTCTTGAATGAGTGAGTGCTGGTGTCCACCCAGTGTGTTTCTACACAATGTCCCCATTGGCCTCGTGTGTTTGTGTGTGGGGGGGGGTGGGCTTCAAGGTGAATGGCTTTGAGGATGGACCACATGTTCAAGGAGAAGTGTGTGTTCTCTTGTTTGGTACTCCAAGTAGAAACAGGTGTTTGAGACTTTGGTGCCACCTCTTGCCCCAATACCAGTCATGCTTCCCCTCCTGAGTGCCATGGGACCACCCCAGGGCATGCTGGGAGTTAAGCCAGTGCATTTGTCCCAGGCCCAGCCATGCGGCCCTACCCGTGCTGACTGTGGGGAGGATTTCCTAGCTGCTCACCGTTCACCAGGGCGATGTTCAGGCCTCTGCCCACGTTGTTTTTCACCGGACTCATGATGCTGTAAGGATGGTGAAGGAAATTAACCCCAAACGTCACACTGCACAGCCCATGCATGGCCCTCTGCGTCTGGGGACCCCCGAGGAGGCCTGTCTTGTGGCTAGCTGGCTGCTGGGATGGGGCCCTCGCTCTCCCTGATTGCACAGCCAGAGCCTCCTGGGGGCCCTGGCCACAGTCCTTGGCCCGGGCATGGCCTCGTGACGCAGGCCCAACACTGGGACCCAGTCTTGGCTCTTGTGCAGTAGGTGTGAGGCTAGGCTGAGATGCCAAAGCAGCTGGCGGCCTCTCGCATTGATCATACAGAGAAGTGCATTTTCTGTGTAGAAAATGACGACAGTGGACAGAGGCCTCCAGAGCTGAAGATGGTGTGACCGGGGCCTTGGTGATCACGGTTGTTGATTCCCTGGGCCCAACTGGTCCTGATGTCTACCACTGCCAGCCCCTTCCATGAACGAGCCCACAGGCTCTTGTGTTGAGTTGGCCAGCTGTGGTCAGGTGTTTGGAGTCTGAGGTGAACCCCCACCTCTGCCCTCTTTCACCGGGTAATGCCAGTGTCCCAGGGCCTTGCCTGCCTCGGCTGGGTAACAGGCATAGTCTTCCTCTTGCCTCTGGGTGACACCCTGGTACCTGCTACATCTGGCTTTAATACCTGTTTCTACCCTGAACCCTCCCCACAGGCATCCCCATTTGGAGGTAAACGCATCAATTTGACTGTCAGACCCAAGTTCAAGTCCTGGTCCTTCTGCAGACCTGGCAGCTGACCCGGGCTGCCCTCACATCTCTGTGTCTCCCAGAGTCTTGAGTGGGTGTGGCTGATCTGGCTGCTGTTTGAATGCCAGCTGTTGTGGCTTATACTCCTGCCAGAAAAGGAAGCCTGGGACGATGTGGGCTGATTGCCCTAGCCCAGCCCCTGCAGTCTTAGCTTTTTCTTGCAGATAAAGGAATGAATGAATGAATGAATGAATGAATGGAGAGAGACCTGGATGTCCTTCAGATACTTACATCTGATTTTCAAAGCACATAGAGGGGCCCACGACGTTGGCAGCCCCACTGCTGATCTTAAATGCAAAGAAGTTGGATGGGCAGGTCTTGCTGAGGCCACACTTAGTCTTTGGGGTCTCTGTGGTGGGGAGGGAGGTTAAGAGAGATCAGCCTGGGTGGGTGGCAGCAGCCTGGGAAGGAGCAGCAGGAGGGAGAGAAGGTTTCCAGTGTAGGCCTGCACTGACCCTGTAGGGTGCCCCACTGACCCCATCACGCACACATGGGCAGGGCTGCGTGTCCACCTACTACAGAAGCAAGTGGGGGGCCCGTACATCCCAGGTGTGAATGAGTGAGGGGCTGACAACCAGAGTCCCCACGAGGCAGGCACTCTGCTGAGAGCCTCTCTTGGGGTGCTCACTGACAGCCTCCAGTGGGCCCTCGCCCAGTAGATGGGAGCGTCTCTCTGGCTGGGTTCGGCTGGCGTGTGGGCCGCCTCCTCACTTCATCATCTTTGTCGGGTGGTGCCTTCCCCATGGGGATAAACAAGGACTACATGAGGAGGGTTCCAAGCTGACATATTGACTCCCTTGTGGCTCACTTGCTGAGCTCCTGCTAAGCACCAAAGCCTGGGACACAACAGGGAGCAAAAGGGAACAAGCAGGAGGCTCCGTTTATACCACTGAGTGCTCAGGGTGGTGAGGAGCCCACGGGCAGTCAGTGTGTGCACCTCTGCTGGCCATGGTGGTTGCTAGGACCTTCAGAGGGCAAATCCAGGAAGCCATGATTGGCAGGAGCCTTGGTCCAGACCTTGAGATGCAGCTGGAGCATCCCTGCCCACTCTGGGACTTCCATGGGCAGGGATGACACCTGTGCTCACAGCGTGGCAGGTCCTTTCCGCGCCACCTAGTGGTTGACCAAGGCCATGCTGGGGAAGGGCTGGTGCACATGCAATTACAGAAGAGTTCCCCCTCAGGTATGGCCCGACTGGGCAGCCTTTCCATCCCCAGCCGCTGGGCCAGGCATTGGGCCCAGCACCCCACTGGAGCGTGCTCATCTGCTGGGCCCACGGTTGCTTAAGAGAAACCCACTGCTATGGGCTTGCTGTGTGCCAGGCCCTGTGTACTCTATACTCAGTCTCATGCAATCGTCCCAGCAGCTCCTGGACCAGCACCGAGCAGGCACTCGAGAAATCTGTGTGGGATGAACACAGGCTGGGGTCTTGTTTAGAGGGGTGAGGTATGAGCCCAAGGCTGTGAGGGCTGTCACAGCATGCAGTGCCACAGGCTGGGTGAGCTCGGGACAGTCTTGAGTAGGCAAAGGCTCACGTGGGGTATGCTGGCTTTCCTGGCCTCAGTGTACCTGGGGATCACCATGCAGACAGTGGGGAGCAGTCCCCGGGAGCAGCTGGGCAGCAGGGAGAGGGCTGGCGGCCTAGTGGACCTGCTTCTTCCCTGTTCCCCTCCCTCTTGTGTCCCCCCGGGTCCCAGATGCCCACTCCCCTGTCTCTGTCCCCTCCCATGTTTGTGTTGAGAATAGAGGTCCTCACCTGTGCTGGGCAGGGGATTATTCCAGACGAAGGCCCACCATGGAGCCAGCCAGGAGCTGAATCAACTACAGCTAAGCCTGAGCCAGCCGCTGTCAACAGTCCGGCTTAAGCAGCCTTTTCCGGAATTGGTTTCTGACCACCCTGTCCTTCACTGTCAAGCTCTGGCTGAAGGGAGGGAACACCCATGCAGGTCTGAGCCCCGGGAGGCAGAGCGTCGGCTCTCTGGGATCTGACTTGTAGTTGCTGTTCTCAGGTGCCTGTAAACTCGGGGTCCACAGCCCCCCAAGGACCCTCACACTGGTGCTCACAGCAGGACAGAGGCAGGGGGATACTCGGTGGTGTGACTAGCCATACAATCTCTGTCTGAACTCGGGGAGTTGGTTCAGATTGGAGGTGTCAGGTAGGTGGGTTTTGGTTTAAATGCCAAGGTCCTGATCTCTGTGAGTGACAGGTGTGGTATCTGACCAGGGACTGGGCTTCTCCAAGTCCGGACACAGCAGGAAGGGTTGGTGGAAGCCACACACAGCACTTTCCTGTTCCCTACAGTGTTTGAGATGATAGGGCATCTTCAGATCTGTTAGCTCCCTGAGGCCTGCTTGTCCAGAGAGAGAAAGAGAGACTGTTGTAGGGTGTTTTATGCAAAACATGGCAGCAACCTCGTTTCTTGTCTCACCAAAGCAGCATATTCATGCGAACAATTCTGTTGTGGGTTGCGAGAGCAATCACCAAGCACCCAAGTGTAGGATGGTAGGAGGCGTCTTTATTTCCTAAGCTTGGTGACAGCAGCTCTCACTACACTCCAGGAGCTACTGCGCAGAAGTCAGGGGTATTTCAGCTCTCGTGCTCCCATCAGATTGAGAGCCACACAGGACAAAGTTTCAAGCAGGAAGGAAATACCAGAGCCCAAAGTCACAGCTAATTCACCTACAGGAGGCAGGTCAGGCCAGGGGCACAGAACCTCGGAGTAATTGAGTAATTTCCGTGCTGTCGGTTGTTCGGAATGGTGCAGGAGGAAGAGCAGAGGACACTTTTCGCTCCTTCGATTAACTTGATTGATGCGAGGGGCTGCACAAAGGGCTTGTCCTGACACCCTGTCTGCTGTCAAGCAGGTGTGAGCCACCAATGGCGAGATGCCCCATTACAATTCCAATTCGCAAAGCAGGATTAATTTGGGTAAAAAGGGCTCCTGCCGTGGTGGCAGGAGAGAACTCCATGCGTCCTGAGGAAAAAGCCCAGAGCTCCTGTCATTGTTGCAGGAGGAAGGAAAAAAAAACCCTGCATGTTAATGGTGGAAATGCTGTCTTTAAGATCCCTTTTCAAAATAATTTCTTGAAGGCGAAGGAAAAAACTTGTTCTCCATAGCGCCAGGCTCGGAGACAAAAAGTCTTAGGAGGGTGGGATCTGTAAATTACGCATTCGCTTTCTAACTACAAACTGGTCACTCAGGCACTGTCTCCTTCACAGTGGCCTGGCGATGAGATCGGTTAGGCCACTTCCAGGTGCGGGCGTGATACGTCCGCCCCGTGTCTCTCCAGGCAACAGGATGCCCTTGAGAGAAACACGCTCTGGGGATTTGAGACATGGGGGAGAAAACCCAAACATGCTGTAGCATGTTGGACGTTAAAAAAACAAAACAGCAACCCGGTTCCTGTCTCACATGAAAGAATGTTCATGCAAACAAAGTAGTTTGCAAAGTATGCTTTATTTAGAAAGGAAAGGAGGAGGCCTCTTGCTGTTTACCATCCTAAAGGACATCTAATTCTCAATACAAAATATACTTCCATTTTTTTCTTCTTTTTAGCATGGAGGCTTTTATGCATGTGAGTTTTAAAAGCAAGCAAGCACACTGTTGTGGGAGGTGGGGCAGGAGGAGTTCTCTATTGGTAGCAAAGCTCCAGGGTCATCCCGTCGTGGATGCTGTAGTCCCCCACGTGGGCCTTAAAAATCGTGCACCCCTGCTTTAGAACAATCTCGTTCCAGCGGGTGTCGGTTTGGGACGCAGTCAGCTACTTCAAAGTCCCCAATGGTTCCTTGGTGTTGCACTTAACCCAGACCTTCTTCCCAAGACGGCCATTGCACACAACCTCCATCGTCCTGCCTGGAGCCGCAAGATGCCAAGACCTCCTTGGGCGAACCCTAAGGCCCCAACAGGAGCCTGGACCAAGAGGAGGATGGTAGGTGGTCCACAAGGTCGTAATGTCGGAGCAGGTGGTGACCCGAGAGGAGGGGATGCAGGTTTATTTCTTTCACCTAAAGAAAAAAGAGAAAGAAGGGCATGCTGTGTTAGCGCGTTGGGTATCCAGGTAATACAGTGTTTTAGAAAGTGTTTCCTGTTTCTTACATCCTGGAACAGTTATGTGTGGGATTGCTATGTTTTTTAATAGGCGGACGATATCATTAGTCAAGTTGATTTGATTTGGACTTTTCTAAGAAATTTTAAATTTCTTTTTGGTAGCTGTGTAATAGCTATCACATCTTTAAACCCTTTTGAAAAAAGGTTTATTTCATTTTTATTGGAATGTGAGTTATACAGAGAGGAAGATCTTCGGTTCTTTGATTCACTCCCCAAGCAGCTGCAGTGGCTGGTGCTGTGCTGATGGGAAGCCAGGAGACAGACGCCTCTTCTGGGTCTCCCACGTGGGTGCAGGGTCCCAAGGCTTAAGGCTGTCATCAACTGCTTCCCCAGACCACATGCAGGGAGCTGGATAGGAAATGGGGCCACCAGGACTATAACTAGTGTCCATATGGGATCCCAGCACGTTCAAGGTGAGGACTTTAACCACTAGGCAAGTGTGCTGGACCCTTTATAACTTTTTTTTTAAAACTAATTCTGTTAGTTGCGGTAAGTTGTATTTCTCTAGAAATATATTCATTTTACCTAAAATTTCTCACATTCTGTCAGACGGTCACAATTCAGTTCTTATTTTTTTAGTCATGTGGCTGTGTACCCCATTTTCATTTCTAATATTGACAAGTTTTGCCTCCTTTACTGTTTTATGATAGTCTTACAACAATCCATCAGTTTTACAGATTTTTTCAGTTTTTATAATGTACAATAGCTTTGATGTGCTTATTTTTTTTTTTACTAGTTTGTACTTTGATCAGATTTCTTATGTCCTCTGGTATTTTAAACCAAGTCTCCTATGTGAGTGGCAGGGATGCAGCGACTTACCCCACCACTGCTGCTTCCCACCTGCTTCTAGCAGAAAGTTGACGTCAGCAGCCGGAGCCCGGTGCTGAACTTAGTCGCTCTGCTGTGGGACGCTGGCACAATGATCAGTGGTAACCATGAGGCTAAATGCCTCAGGTTGCTCTGTGGCGCCCCCCTGTGGTACGCTGCAGCTGTGCTTCTCGGTACACATCCTCTCCTGTGGAATCTGCTTTATTCCTGGGTCATTTTTTGCGTGTATTGAGTATGCATAGTATTTATGGACCACATTTTGGGGAAAAAAGGTCAGGGCTAAATCGGGGCTCTGCATGGTGTTACCTCCCAACGCAGAGAGCTGTATTTGTGCGAGGTCACTAAGGGCGGGGTCGTTCACTCAGTCCCCTCAGGGATGGAAGCTCAGTGGGTTCCAAGTC